ACATTATTAGACAGTTAAAAATTTAAATATTAAAATCTTAATATTATTTCAATATGGAAACAAAAACAAATTAAAAAATTATTTTATAATTTATAAATTAGTTTAACAATAATTCTAATCAAGTATTTAGGAAATAAATATTTAATTATTACGAGAATTATTACAAGAATTTAAAACGTACATTCTTCCACATATGTCGCAGCCGTACTTTCCTTTAGGCCTGTGAGTCTCTAAATGCACTTTCAGATTTCCCTTTGTAGAAATCTTTTTACTGCAAATTGGACAGATGAAATTGCTGGACGAATTGTTATCACTATTCGTATGAAGTACACCATTTATAGAATAAACGTGTTGAGATTGTAAAATAGGCTTTCCGTCGAATCTTCTCTCTTTAGGTAAATGCGACCACAAGTGATTTTGCAAGCCAATTTGCGATATAAAAGATCGAGTACATATTGTACATTCATGCGGTTTCTCTGATAAATTGGATATAATTTTTTCACCGTCTTCGTGCGATTTAGATTCACTTTCATCTTTCTTTTCTTCGTCTTCCACTTCAGTGTTTCTATAAAACAAATAAGATATATAATATGAGCAGGCATATTCAACTATCAATATATTCATATATATATATATATATAGTATAAAAATTCCTACTTGTTCATTAAAGGTAATGGTTCTGGTGTATGTGTCCTTGTTATTTCTTCCTCGTTATCTGAGGAATCTGAAGCTTCGGATGTAGACTGTTCCATGCCACATTGTAAAAATAGCATTGGATCCACTTTTACCTCCATTTCCTCCATGTTCGGAGTACAACGTTTGACCTCTTGAAAATTTGATTCCTGTGATCCCAGTGGTTCGTCCTCAGTTAAAATTTCTATCGCACCCTATAGATAACATTGTTAATACAATAAATACTGTAGATAAAAATCTGATATATAAGAGACTAATACATACTGAAAGACAATTTATAATATATACCTTTGTCAATATCGAATGCAATAGTCCTCGATCTTCCGCCTTTTTTATAGTATCTTGCATGTCTTTAATATTCTGTATCTCATCTTCTTGTACAGGATTCGTATTGTCAATGTTACCATAAAGCTGTGATCTCAACTTCTCTTGGGTACGGTATGCCATCATTGCGAAACGATGGACACCCTCCAGTCTCTTGATACACGTAGAACAGACCATTTTTGAAAATTTGTCCTCCGATGACACCTGCAAAACATTTAAAAATAAATATAAATCTATAAAAATATACATTATGCAATTAACGTAAATTATGACACCAATTTGGAAATGATAGTGTTGGATTATTAATTCACATTGGATTAATTCTTTTTATGAAATAAAAAAATTAATCCAATGTGAATTAATTTGAATTTGCAGAATAAGTACAAAAATTCACACGAAGAATATAATAAAATACAGATGTAAATATACATAAAAAGAAGAAAAAATATAGATATTCAGATTCTACTTCTTCTAAAGTAAAACATATTATACGTGTTTTTTTCTCAAAACAGAAAACATAAATTAACAATAAATTATTATAAAATTATCGCGTTATTAGAATTTATATTTGTGTATTATATTCTTATGTATGTTGATATATATATACACACACACACACACACACACGCGCGCGCGCGCGCGTGTGTATGAACTGTCATTTTCAGATACTAACGTCATATAATTTATCAAATCTATTGTATAATTAAACATCATTTTATTATCATCGTTACGTCGTCATTCGTTTCTCATTCCTTCCATTATTGTCATCTCTCATTTGTACAGCAGCGCGTCGCGAATTCTCTCTCCAATTTCATCCTCGATCGGCAATTAACCTAGCTTTCGCGAGAGCGCCGATAACGTCGTCGAGGTGGGAAAGAAAGGACATTTCGTTTATTTAAAAGGAAAGTCGCCCTGTTTTTCCCCTTTTCCTTCGCGTCTCAGTCGACGCCAATCTATTTCGCGCCACGTCATTTTCCTCGTCGCTCCACCGCGGACGCAGCCCTCATTTCCGATTGTATTTATAGATGTGGCCGCTTATATATAGCGTACACATACACGCGGGCCACGAGTATACTTATTGCAATCAATAAAATGCTAATTTTTAACACTTTTGTAGCTCCGCACACAAAATGGTCGCGCTCATGACCGACGTATTCCGTAAAATACGTAAATATGATCAATTGCCTATAAATCGTAACGTGATCGGTTCTTCCGACGAATCCGTTGATATTTCGCGGCTCATTAGAAATCGACGCGATTAATTTTTTCAACTGAAGACTTTTGGCGAGGCCAAACCCAATGCTTAAGCATCCGTATCGCGAAAATGTCACTGTTATATTTAGACGACCGAGTCAATTCATTAGCGTCGAGCCCGATCATTATATGATGGAAAAAAAAGAGATGAGATCGGAGAGACGATCGGCGACTCCAAATCACCGTGATATATTTTTCGCCGATTTTTCGCGAACGTCGATGGTGATCGCGGAAAATCGTCGCAACACGAATCTTCGCGGAGAAGATCGGTGTGCGATTTCGACCGATCTCGAAAAATCGGCTGAGATCGGCCGAGCGACGTCGACGTGAATTTCCAAATTCGGCCGCGACCGGCACGTGATCGTGACACCTGCCGCGTAGAGGAGAGGGGGAGAGCGAATTTTGAAAAGAAGAAAAAATGAGGGAGGAGAGGGAGAAAAAAAAGGGAGAGGGAAAAAAAAGGATACCCGCCGCGCGAAGATACGCGCGAAAGCGCGCTCGTGTCTCACTCACCAAGATATGCAGGTATTTCCGTATTTTGGTCTGCAGATAATGACGCCGGCCGTCCTCGGCGAAAATGTGCATCCCGCCGTCGTCAGTAGCGATATCGGTTGCACAGATCCGGCACTGCGCCGCGGACCGGTCGGCTTGCCGATCGCGCTGCTGCTCGAGATCGCGTGCCGCCGTGCCCATTTTTCAAAAAGGAACCGGGAGCCGGGAGAGCGCGAAAACAGGGAGGAAAAAAAGGAAAAAAAAAGAAGAGATCGGCGAAGGAGAGAGACAAATAGGTGAAACAATGAAAAAAAAGGAAGAACAACGTGCCGGGAGGAGGAGGGGGGGAAATAATTTTTCTTCTTGTTCCACCGCTGGAAGACTTTTTCGTTTCAGCCGATCCTCTCGGCGGGTAGTAACGGCGGCACGCCGACGCGGAGCTTCGTCGGAGACACGTCGGCGATTTTTTTCT